GCGCCCATGGTTCGTTTTGTCGTACCAAAAAACCCTTGTATACCAATTTTCACTGTTATACATCAAATATTGTTCGAAATATTAAAAAAAACTATTTTAGAAAGTAAATTTGAACACCCTGTATTTCGGAAGCCACGCATTTTTCGACCCATGTTTATATAGACTTCATGCATTTATTTTTGAAAGTTCTACGGAATCTTAAAGTTATGCAACAATAAACTGAAACACCCTGTATATTTGTCAACATTTTATTATTTTTGATTTGTCTTATATCATAAAATTATGATCTAAAGTACCGATCAAATTCTATTCTAATATCTAGCACCAGCAGCATCATCACCGGAGCCGAATCAACGCGGCGGCGGCACGGCAGACAGCAGGGCGGCGCCTCTCTCCATACTCACCCCTCGCGCCCCATGCCGCCGCGACGCTGAGCGTCGGCCGCGTCGCGACGCATACGGTCCATCGACGTCGGACGGCGCGGTCGTACTTGCCGCACGACGCCTCGCGACCTGCCCACCGTGCGGTTATCGAGAGACGCCGCGTAAGCGGGACGCTTGTGCTTCATGTGGTCAGTTGAAATGTGTCAGTGATGGACGGATATTTTTTGACGGTTCTTATGGATCTTTAGTGAGAGATGAAAAATAATAGCCGGTCTCGAATTATGATGTATTGCACATTCACTGTGATATGACAGGGATGCACCGGGTACTTGGTTTGGCGAGTACCTGATTTCTCCGAGTAACTTACCAGGCCGGATAATTATTCAGCTTGAATACAAGACACAACTTGTTAATGTAACGTCTGAAACTTAGCATTTGGCTTACATGTCTATAATCCCCGTGTCTGTCAAGCCAATAAAACCACATATATTGACAGATCTAATGATAATAATTATAATAATAATAATAATACTAATAATAATAATTTAATGCCAAAAAGTACAATTCCAAATATTGTTGCATGAACTGGCACAACAATGACAAATAAAAGTAATGTCATGTAAGAAAAAAACTTTGACATTAGAATATACTCAGTTATATATAGTTTATCAACAAATTTGGTAACAAATTACGAAGTTCTACGCTCACACATTGATAAACTTTGGTGGTTATAGAGTCACTGGAGGAAAACAACAAGTGCAAACTTGTAAATAATTAACTATAATAAACTATAAAAGAAAAACGACGTACATATTCAGACGTAGCTCACGCATTCAAGAGAAGTAAAAGCATACATGTATGTGTCTATGACACAAACAGGTATGAAACAAATATCAAAATTAGTAAGACAAAAATAAAATGTGGATGAATATAATATTAAAATTATTTACAAGTCGGAGTTGTGAATGGTAGAATAGCGTCAAAATTGGCAAAACTAAAGCAGCGATCTTGACAGGGTAAAGCGAATACTACTAACTTGTGAATACTACTAACCTCTGCAGTACCAAAAAAGTTCACCTTTGTGATTGAAATGTTCACTACAGTAAAGAAGATCTGTTAATATATGTGGTTTCATTGACAATACAAGAATGGGGATAAACAACTTGTTAAGTCGAAGAATTACAGATGAGATTTTTGCTCAAAAAACAGCATAAACCACATAACAAAGCAAACAAAATGCATCAAAAGTAAGTAAGTAACGTAAATATTGAGTTTCCCGCGTTCCCCCTCAAAGTAAAAATAATCTAGTTCAGTTTTTCCCGCCGCATTAACCAGTTTTCGTTTGTGTAACTTTCCTAATCTCCAACCAACGGCAGGTCAGGGACTTATATGATTTAAACTTGTGGTGGCCAAATTTCTCGAACAAAAATGTAGATTTAGGACATCGAACCTTTAGAATATCTTGCAAAAGTGATCCTCTCATGAAATTTGTACATATTTTATTATCATTTAGTCTCGTCATTCCATTGAGGACCACAGAGACTCTACAAACTGACCCCACTCTTCCTATACTTCTGCGTCCCTGGGGTTCCACTCTAGAGCCATTATAGCCTTCTTTCTGGGATGTTGCCTATCCAAGCTCCACTACCTTCACTTAGTTTGGTCTCCAACAGGTTCCATTTCATGAGCTGTCTGATCAGTTCCAATTTTTGAAATTTTATTTTAACATCGGCACCTTCTGCTTTTTCCTCCGCAGTATCTCTGATCTACTTCTGTATATATTTTTTGTTTGGTGAATTCCCTGTTTTTAGTATTTCCATTTTCTTCTCCGGCGTCGGCATTTCAATTAAATATTTCTTCTCAGCGATTTTGCAGACATTCCTCGAAGAGTTTTAATTAGACAGAAATGTTCAAAGAATGTAAAGTCAAAATATGGCTTCAATGTTGTAGCTGCTGAATACCACAATGAAAAATAGTTCTAGGTGTTGCAATACTCCTAAATATTTTAAAAACAAAGGTCCTGAAGATACCCTATGTACATTAACTTTTTTTTAGATACTTTCATTCCTTGGACAAGAAAATGAATTTTAGCAATGATGAGACCTTTCAAAAACTTAAATATAGCCTAAATATCACTACCAGTACTCGGTACTCGCTTTTCGAATGATGTCTAGTACATGGTGCATTCCTAGCTTATCATAATCCTATATATCCTTGTGCTAGATATTTGACTGTCTAACTCATGGTTGCAGGGTTCTTCAATCCCCAATTTTTACGTTTATTTTATTACTCTTTGCCGGAAATCGTATTTGGTCAGAGGAGATTGGTTTTATTATGTTTCAGCAATAAAACCTTATTAGATATCATTTATACTAAATAAAAAGATACTTATGTTTGATTGCATTGAATCTCCTAAAAAATTTTCAGGATTAGTTGTTAATCTAAAGCTCTGCTAATAGAAGAACGCCTATAAATAAATGTATAAAAATCTGCGATTCTATGACCAACGTCCGAATCTAAATTCTTTTTAACTGTCAGAGAATTTCAGCAACTTCAATAAATCTGTAGCTGACACAATACATGGTTAAATCATCTGCTATCTATGAACAGCAAAAAAGAACTGCAGCTATTGAAACGAAAAAGTGAATCAAAGTTTGAAAGATGGCATAGCATTTTAATTTTAATTTTAATTCAAATATCGAAGGAATCAAAAATTGATTCCCTGAAATATTGATATAGGCAGAATCGAGAGAGGAACTTGTAGATAATGTCGTCATATTCCCTACGGGAATACCTTAAACCAAGTTGAGATCAAGCCTTAATTTATTCACTGCAAAATGTTCCGTTTCTCGCTTGTGCTGTTTATCTGTCATTTGTCAGTTTCGAATTAAGGAAACTATTCAGAGATATACAGGGTGACTTTGAAGTTGAGTCATTAATTTTCAGATAATGATTGTAGAAGGAAGATAAAAAAAATAAAAAAAAAATTTACCTTGTTTTATAAAGTATCCTCCCGACAAGTATTTCAGTGCGGACCTGTATTTGATCGTGAGGTCTTAGAGCACCGGCATGCCCTCCCCTGTGAGGTCTTAAGTCACCCGATTCACGAGCCCGTTGTACTATATTAACAAAGGCACGAGGGGTTGATTGCACTCGATTGGGAAACCGATCCGCATAAACATGTGCCATTTTTTATTTCGTTTGAGCCACGCAACAGACACCACTATTCACTCACGCGTTACCGACTGACACTGACTGTATACAACTGAATAAAATAATTGTAAAAACATCGTTCCAAATTCTTTCGCTCTTTTGTTTCCGATGCGATGAACCGATAAGGCGGATTATATCCGTTGTTGCCAAACACGAGCACATAATATTATTATTGAGACAGGACGGTACTCAAACTTCCAAAGGGCTATAACTTTGTTACTTTAATTTTACCACAAAAATGTTAAAGGAAAAAACATTTATTTTGATCAGATCTACTCACTGTTAAAACAAATGACTCAACTTCGAAGTCACCCTGTATACATTTGGGAAATTGCATAGATTAAATATGAGCATTTACAGAGTATTGGATCATCCTGGACAGTAACAAAAACATCCCTATCAGGGGGCGTAACATTTTTAGAGTTTATATTTTTTGTCGCTTTTAATAGTTTCGTTTACATGTCCATAGATTACGCGTTGACACCTTTTTTGATAATTAATAGGGTTCGGCTGAAGGATATGAAAAATTTGTAATCATTATAAATGTTTTCATTAGTCAATTCTCTGCTGAAATAGTATAATAATATACCCATTAGATTTGTAATCAAACTTTTCACACCGTTAATAACGATGTTACAACTTGAGCCCGGGGCACAAACGTTCGTTATTCGACCGCCTTATTCTTATGACACACCCCACATTTTTGATTAATCAAACATTCGGTTTCGGTCAAAACAAACCCTGAAAACTAGTTTTTATCGTTTTCAGTTTATTTATTGTGTAAAGCCGTAAATTCTTGAGTCTGAGTGATTTATGGACAGATGTATCCTAGTATGTAGGAAATCAACCTACTTTGCCCTTGTTGCGGGCTGTTTTGTAAGATAGATGGTTTTTTAGGGTTGAAGGACCTCGCAAGCTCATGATGGACATTTTTGTATATTCAGCTCATACAAACAATCCAACTATCACCTTAAATATAAACTTTTTCCGATTCAATAATAATTTATGGTTACATCAAAGACGATTTTAGAAGTCAGGACAAGTGTCACTCAAGAAGGAGCATAAGAAAACAAGCTAAAATATCTGCAATACACTTTGTTTTTTTTGCGAGTATTGTGCACATAACTATTATAGTTAATTGGAGCAATATAGAGAAAAAACTACTTCATCTAAGACAAGAACTAGCTGAAGAAAACCTAAACCTCAAGTATTGTAAATACTAGTGACATTAACTTCAATCAATGAAAAAATAGGGGCTAAGCTTCTGTGACAAGCCTGATTAAAACATACATAATCATCAAACATTGAAATGCTTATAGTTATGATATGCCCAATGAAATATTACAAGAAAAGCTGCTACCTCTTGGCTAATAGCTGAACCTTGAAAACCGGACTAAAAGAAAAATGGATATCAGTGACTCAAGATTTTGGTACAATGGTACCAATGACACCAACATCAACCAGAACCCACCTCCAGACACCTACATGCTGGTGTTCCAAGACATCGACCAATACCTAAACCACATCAATATCTCCAATCAGTCCGATCTGAGCCCGCTTGATCGACAAGGACTCGGTTGCAACCTCACCGCGAACTACTCAAACGTTACGTGTGATCGTGGCATAACGGAAGTGTACCGAAACTACTGGGCGTTCATTTTGGTGCTGTTCCCGATATTCACGTTGTTCGGCAACGTTCTAGTGATTCTGAGTGTGTATAGGGAGAGGACCTTGCAGACTGCTACAAATTATTTCATCGTCAGCTTGGCCTTGGCAGACCTGCTTGTTGCTGTGGTTGTAATGCCCTTCGCCGTTTACGTTCTGGTAAGTCCGACGTTTATTCAACATGCGTGGGTGTTTGATAAACATGCTAATATTTAAAATAGAGCGGACTCCAGTGAACTTTTTGAAACTTCTTTCAAATCCACTAATTCTCTATCTATAGGGTGGCCAGTATATAACTGAGCGTAGTATTTGTTTAAAGCACATGTCATGGATCCCACAACGCGTCCGTATTGTTAAAACGCTTTACTTGAATAATGAGTCGATTGTTGCAACGGAAGCTACGACAAGAAAAGACAGACAGACAAGAAAAAATGGACGTATTTTATTTCATTTCACAAATATCAAAAAACAAACCAGTCAGTTACATATCGGTATTATGGAAAATATAAAATACATATTGTTGTCGAATGTGTCGATTATCATAATAATTATACAGACATGCCACTCCGCAATCAATTTTGCCACATCTTAATACAGATGATTATTTAAAAACAAGATTCAAAGACTATTCTCTTTCCATCCATAATGTGACCACTAAAACAATATTTACATGATCTCGAAGCATAAGTACATTTGTAGGAGCTGTTTCGCCAACTGTTGGCAGTTATCTTTTCGGTTGCTTAGAAATCCCCGTACCACACCTTTAAAGCCTTCCCAGGAGGATTTTCTTTCCCCCCTGAAAATTCATCAAACGCAGGGTCCTGATACGGTTTATAAAAAAAAACACAAAATAATTTCGGTAACATCGAGGTAGGCCGTTTTCGGTATTACTACCTGCTCACCATTTATGATATAACAATTAAAAAGGGTTTATCTGACAGATGAATTTTCTATTTTTTCGGCGGTGTATACGATTTTCAGACCACAGTGCGTAGTGAGGTATTACTACCCAACAACTTGAAAATAAGAGCTAATTCATGGTGATTTTCGTTTTTAGCCAGTCAACAGGCTTCTGAAATAGGAAGTTTTGAGCCATAAGCATTTTTTTAAACACAAGGGGTGCCCCATAATTTTAATTGTGCAATGATTATTACAAGCTGTTTTTGGAAAACTAAGTTTAATTAGTGTTTTGGTATTTACGTTTCAGAAGAATATTATTTAAGCTTCTTGGGCAACATCCGCCGCTCTGGTTAGCGAAACATAGCGTGTTCAAAAAAAAAAAAGGTTAAAGTGTTCAGTAGGATCCCATTATTGATTTTATGTAGACAGTTTCTCAAAAAACCATGAGAGTAAAATACCTAACAGGTCTTGTGCAGAATATATTCTTCTTCTTGGAAAAAGATAGCCAAATAAGTATTGACAGATTCCCACATTCCAGATCAAGAGTCTGGAAAGGTATTCGACATTATATATGGTGCATCGTTTGCCAAATTGAAATGACGGACAGAGAAGGTCTTCTTCTATCACCCCAGGTCTCTCAAACAGTTTTAGCCCATCGGAATTAATTATGTAGGATATTTAATTTTTTTAATAAAAACTGCAAAATGTAATCACAAAGTGAAATAAAAAAAAATAAATTATTTTTTTTACAGAAATTCAAAATTTTTTGTTCTTCTTTGTAACCCTTTGTGAGTTTATAAATAAAAAACTACATGCTGCTGGCAAGTAGTGTTGATTTTGTAAGATTGGTACATCACCCATTAAGATAAATTAATCATTAGGTGGACATACTCTTTATTTTTTTTATTTCACTTTGTATATTTATTACATTTTGGAGTTTTTACTAAAAAAATTTAAAAATCTACATAATTAATGCCGTTGAGCTAAAAACTATTTGAGGGACCTGGGGTGATAGAAAAAGGCCTCCCCTGTCCGCCATTTCAATTTGGTAAGCGATGCACCAAAAACCCTGTATAGCGAACTTTATTGTTGAGAAGTATCAAATATATATATATATATATATATATATATATATAAATCCGAACACCCAGTTTAAATGGATTTATTTTAATAAAAGTTGGTGAATGTATTTATCTTACTGTAAATAACAAGTGAATAAATTTTCAGCCTTATCAGTTGGACATTCCGGTTTTTATACTGGTTTTTTTAATTCACTAACGCTCTAAAAATGAATATTTCAGCCGCAGTAAAGAATCAACGTTGGCGGATTTTGGTTCTTGACATCCTTTACGATCGGTTACGATGCCTAGAGTACGGAGACCTGTACGATTTCGTCAACTTGGTGAGTTTGATAGGGGCCGTATAGTGTGACTTCGGGAAGCTGGGCTTTCTTTTCGGGCAATTGCAGTTACAGTGCAAAGAAGTGTAGATACTGTGGTTAGGTGTTGTGAGGCATGGCTTCGAGAAGGCCGTACGCAAAGAGCAAGGGGCACTGGACGCCGCCGTAGAACAACAGACCGTGAAGATCGCCGCCTAAGATTATTGGCCTTAAGGCACCGTTTCTCTACTACCAGGTCCATTGCAAATGAATGGTTTGCAGAACACGGAAGACCTATTGGCACGCGAAGTGTTTACCGACGAATGAGAAGTTTTGGCTTGTTTTCATACCGGCCACACTGGGTCCTCCCTTTAACTCGAGAACACCGACGTAATCGCCTTGAGTGGTGCAGACAACGGTCACTCTGGGATCAGGAATGGAACAGTATTGTCTTTAGTGACGAGTCTCGATTTTGTTTAGGCATGCACGATGGTCGTGCCAGGGTTAGAAGGCGACGTGGTGAAAGGAGGAATCCACAGTTTTTTGTTGAAAGACATATTCATCACACTGTTGGAGTTATGGTTTGGGGTGCTATAGCTTATGGTTCCAGGTCACCTTTAATTTTCATCAGAGGTAACATGAACGCGCAGCGTTATATCCACGAAGTCCTAGAACCCCAACTTTTACCCTATCTTGACACCCTGGCAGATCCAACTTTCCAACAAGATAATGCCCGACCACATGTTGCAAGAGTCACAATAGACTTCTTTCAACATAATGATGTCACATTGTTACCATGGCCACCAAGATCTCCCGACTTATCCCCAATTGAGCACGTGTGAGATATGATGGGTAGGAGATTGCTCAATTTGCAACGTCCTCCTCAGACTCTAGAAGCACTTCGAGAGGAGTTGGTGGTTGCCTGGAATGAGATACCACAGGAGGACATTGACCACCTGATCAGAAGCTTGCCTGGGCGCGTTTGAGAATGCGTAGCACATCAGGGTGCATCCACACATTATTAAAGGTCAAAGGGCTTTAAAGCAGTGCAACCATTTTGAAATTTTCATCATTTACTTATTATGCTTCATTAAGTACTTATACAAAATTTTATTAAAATAAAACCATTTAAACTGGGTGTTCGGATTTATATGTCACTTAGTATAATTATATACATTAAGAATACCAATCATTCACTACCATACCGTATTTTATACCATATTTGGACAAACTACTTCAAAGTAAGAAGACTCATATAATTGGACTGTTATGATACCTTGTTGGGCGAGTAGTAACTTTTGAAACAAAATACAATAATTTTTTTCATCATACCGTGCTAGTTTTCAATGAAATGTTGTTGTTGTTGTTTCAAGCAACTATTAATGGTAGCGCAGGAAAAAAACAACCTAGAAGTTTTTTATAGCTAAAACAGACAAAAAAGGGGCAAACAGAATGAATTTGTTTAAAAAGCTTAAAGGTGGCAATATCTCGAAAACTAGAGCACTTTGACTATGTGGCAAGTAGTTAACAATATCCAAAAGAAAGATTCCAACTAAGATGTCATTATCACCGAAAATGGACGGAAAATTGATGATTTCATTGTACCTTTTAAATTTAATGAACATTTCACTGTTAGGAAAAACAATGTTGAATTAGGTCAGAGTTTATATGACGTTTTCCATTTGGCATGCTAGTTAAAAAACTTCAAATTCTCGTGGATATGATGATATCTCAAATAAGTTGCTTAAAAGACGTGTTTTTGAAATATGTACCCCTCTATCGTTTTTGATCAATTTTTCATGTGAAGCTTTTCAAGACTAGCATTAGTTGTACCAATCCATCATATAAATGATCAGAATGACTATGTTAATAACGCATACAACTGCTGTCAAGTTTTTCAAAGATTTTGAGCTTAATCTGAAAAAACAACTGGTAAATTTTTGCAGTAGAAATATGGTGACCTTGGAAAATCAGCATGGTTTCATCAATGGTAAAAGTACCGAAACTGCGATATACACTTTTACCTTGTTAAAAAATAACATATTTTGGCCTTTTGTTAGACTTTTATAACGTTTCGATTATGTTGATCATGAGTTGCTGTTGTATAAGTTGTGCAGTTTTTCAATCATACGTTCAAGGAAGAAAGCAATATGTCCGTGCTAATGATGCAAGTAGCGATGTGAAGCAGCTGTTCCCCAAGGACCCGCCCTGGAGCCGTTTCCTATAATGCGAATGACGGAATGAATATTCGTCGAATTTAGTTTCAAGTTGTAAAATTATACTAAGTGACATATAAATCCGAACACCCAGTTTAAATGGTTTTATTTTAATAAAAGTTGGTGAATGTATTTATCTTACTGTAAATAACAAGTGAAAAAATTTTCAGCCTTATCAGTTGGACATTCCGGTTTTTATACTGCTCTAAAAATGAATATTTCAGCCGCAGTAAAGAATCAACGTTGGCGGATTCGGATTCTTGACATCCTTTACGATCGGTTACGATTAATAGAGTACGGAGACCTGTACGATTTCGTCAACTTAGTGGGTTAGGGTTAGGTGTTGTCAGGCATGGCTTCGAGAAGGCCGTACGCAAAGAGCAAGCGGCACTGGACGCCGCCGTAGAACAACAGACCGTGAAGATCGCGCCTAAAATTATTGGCAATAAGGGACCGTTTCTCCACTACCAGATCCATTGCAAATGAATGGTTTGCAGAACACGGAAGACCTATTGGCATGCGAAGTGTTTACCGACGAATGAGAAGTTTTGGCTTGTTTTCATACCGGCCACACTGGGTCCTCCCTTTAACTCGAGAACACCGACGTAATCGCCTTGAGTGGTGCAGACAACGGTAACTCTGGGATCAGGAATGGAACAGTATTGTCTTTAGTGACGAGTCTCGATTTTGTTTAGGCATGCACGATGGTCGTGCCAGGGTTA